CTGGCAATGAGCTTTTGAGAAAGTCTGGCTGACAGTCAAGCAAACAGATAGGATAAACCACAGTGGGAAACCCAGGGAAGTGTTCTGCTTTCCTTGCCATCAACCATATTCTCCTGCTCGAGTGGGTCAGACGGGGGTGACTGAGGAGTTTGCACTAAACTTAGCAATGGACCAGTGAGTTCTGGTGTTGGTCAATCCATCTGATTATACACATGCATTCCTGTGCTGGACACCGGTTTGCAACCTCTTGCATGGACTTACCACTCTGCTTCGTTGGAAATCTAATTACAATTGCTTTTCCCTACTGACAGATGGCAGGGTAGATTTATCGACCCTACCTGACTTCAGACTAACATGGCTAACTCTCTCTCTTTTCCCTGCAGAGCCATGAAACCGTACATTTTACTCTTCCTGGCAGTGGTGAATAAAGGGATCTCTACCTATCGGCCCTCGGAAGAGTCACCCTGTGAAATGGTAAGCGTTTATCCAAGAGCCATCATCATCTTCAAGTCTCTCTCAATGTATCAGTAGTATAGTATCATGCAAGCCATTTCGAAGGAGAAATCTGACTATAAAGATGCTCTGTAATGATACCCCCCTTGCTCCTAAGAGTTTCAATGTAGCTGTGGGGAGAAATATGAAGGGAGGGAGAAAGGAAGGATTTTTATCCCCAAATTGGAGATGGGACTCGAGGCACAGAAATGTCGATAGCTGACTCTCTCAAGTTCAGGGGAAGCCCATGGCTCAGTGAGGATAAGTTACCCAGGTCTCCTGAATCCCACTGTCCTAGCCATAAAGCCAGCCTTTCTTCCAAAAACATCTTATTTAAACGCAGAAACAGTGACAGTGAACCTGAGGCTGATTTCAGGCGAGCTTATCACTGATTTCAGGTCTTCCCGATTTACACCGGAGTGAGACTGGATTCACACCCACTCACGCAACCTCCGACTCCAGAGTAGAATTTGGCCCAGAGGTTTTTTTCTTTTACCATATTATCTCACATACAGCACCCATTTCCCCCCAACAACTAGCTGCTAGAAATTGTAGTGCATGTTATATGAGAACAATACAGTAAAACAGTTTCTGCTACTTAGCAGGGACAAGCTAAAGTAAAAACTGCATGCAACTCGCAGGGGGCAGAACAACGAGGAGGCTTCGTTCCCTCACTGCTCCTACTCAGCTACTTACTTCAAGGAAAGATGGTTTTGCAAGGCAGAACAAAGGGAAAAACAGAAGGTGCATAGTTTGTCCTGTGGCACATTGTGTGTGAGAAAATATGGTCGTCATCACAGAAACAAGAACAGAAATATTATTCAGAGAAGAACACGCTCCCCACTCAGTCTCTTCCCTATCCAGCCGACAGTAAAGGCCATTTAAAAATACTTATCTATTTTTTTTTTAATGTTGAAGCTGTTCAGTACGTATCCCAAAGAATGTCCAAAATAGGGAAAAAAATAATTTGTTGGCTGCACAGATCTCCCCTATGGGACTCATTCCTTTCCTGCCCACCCTGCTGAATTAAGGCACTTCCTGAATTCCAGGGAAATTAAGGGCTAGTGTATAAAAAGAACATGGGAAGGTGACTGGCTAGCTCGATTCACTGGCTAGAGTGGAAGAAATGATGAAACTATTGTAAACAGGACAGTTTCAGTCCCGTACATTATTGAGACATGCAATAAGCTAACAAGGCTCATCCCCTCTCTCTGTTGTGGTGGGTTGTAGATCTGCTGCTTCCTTGAGAAGTAAACATGTGCTTGTTTCTGCAACACTGCTATAAACTGCAGTCAGCTGTGCAGGCAAAGGAAGAGTCCAAGAAATTTCTCATCCGTTTTGGAAAACCGGGATCAATTCCACGCAGACAAAACACTCAGTCCGGTCAGTGGTTGAGATCCCCAGCTGGGGGAAACTGACACGGCACTGTTCATTGCAGCTGTGTGAAACTGACCAGCCTCGGCTCTTGGGGCGTCCCAGCAAGACAGCATCGCCGAATTAACTTAAATAGAGAAAGTTATTGGAAGTCCCTAATGTGTCACTGCTTGATTTTTGCATCGTGGTCTTACAAGGTACTTTTCTGGTGGTGACACCTTTGAAAGAAAGAAGGGTCATAACTGGAGTTTTATTATTCAAACGCCCCTGAGGACTGATGGTTTATAAAACCCAGACCCAACTCTGAGTCACAGCTGGTTTTGGTTTTACCAAACCAAAACCGACCCCTCAAATCACCTGTCAGCTAGTGTCACTCAGAGTTAGTAAACACTAGATGAGGACTGGGGCCAAAGCCGAGCACTCAAACACTGGGGCTGTGGATAAATAGGGCAGGAGTCCAACCATCCTATCAGTCACATTTGGGGAGAGGGAGGAGATGACCATTTCTACCTGGAGCCAAGAGCAGAATTTGAATCCAAAGACAGATCCAAACCTTCCCCGAGCTCCAGTCATTGAACCCATTTTTATCTAGCGCATGAATGCAGAGCAAATGCCAAAGGGAGCAAAGAGCTTTTGCGGTGTTAGCACTGCCTGGCAATGCATGTTAATACCCACAAGAAAGGGGCTGGCAGAGCTCCCAGTGCTCAGGCTATGGGGTTATCAAAGATCAGGGAGACAGAGAGAAGGTGTGTCCGCTCCTGCACACTCACTCTCAGTCAATTTATGCCGCACACTCACTTCAACTTTCCCTCCTTTTCTGCCTGCTTGGGATAAGATACAGGAGTTTAGTACGGGTGAGATATTCATCCATTCTGTGCATTGGGTAGACATGAGTGCCGAAAACAGGGAATAGGACAGTGGGTACGGGGGGGACGGTAGGCAAAAAGAATGATGGAGTCACAGAAAGGAAAGCTACAGAGGAAATTAATGATAGGCAAGAGCGGTGGGGTCACTGCAGTTGTAGATCTTAGCATGGAGACTCATGGGCTGCAGTTAACAGGGTCCACTCCTGCAATTCGAGGTGATCTGGCCTTAGCCCGGTTCTTCTTGAAGTTAAATGGGACGGCTCCAGCTGATGTCAATAGGAGCTGGATCAGGCGGTGAGGACCCCCAGTGGGGTGCTCAACACTTGTCAAGATCTGGCCCTTCAGGAGGGCAGGACCTTTGCCTGAGGCTACAAAAATGTGAGCATCTTTCTGGCTTGTGGTAACTTCACCCATTTTTGCCTCCCGCTTGTCCTCAAGCTGAAGGAAACCAAACCTCTTGGTTAGCCCAGCTGCTTGCCTGCTGGCTTCTTAGGGACTGTGGGCTGAGCCCATTTCTGTTCATAGTTCAGCTTAAGACGAGCAATTCGACAGTCTCCTTGCAGGAAGGAGCTAATGGCTCAGGGAAGCCACTTTGAGCCATCAGCTGTGATTGGATTTGGATGGACCAGAAAGTTCACATTTCAATGTGCAGGCTGCTCGGGAGCTCTCAGACAGCTTTATCACAAGGGAAGCATCCTGCAGCAGCCCACGAATATCTGGAGTTCAGATATGGATGAGCAGCCTCTTTTGTCTGGCATGTTTATGACACGGCACACATCCGGAGATGTGTACTCTCCATTACTCGCATGCTTATGTGATTCATAAAACACTGCCCAGCTTCTCCTAAATAGTCCTGCCATTCCTCCACCCAGGGGTTTTTGTGAAACAGATGTTTAGAGAAGGAATTAAAAAAAAAAGAAAAACCCTTCTGAAGACCTAATACCAGACCTTGCTTCACAAGCTCAGACTCTAAGGATCTAACACTCAATATAAGATTCAACAAGCACGTTTCCTACCTCTCTGTAAGAAATAGATGATCCAGTCGCCCAGGTACCTAGATACGTGCTGCTGATTTGATGTTTGCTAAGCATTTTGCTCTTTGTTTCTTATCTTTCTGGTAGGCATTACATTTTAACAACACGTACAACCATATGCCTACACAAAGCCTTTTAGCCTGATGCTCCCAAAAGTTCCTTATAACCTACAGTTCAGTTCTGGCCCTGGATACATGCTCACGACTCCTTTCAATTACAATCAAACCCACGCAAGGGAAAAGGTTGACTGCTCAAATTTACCTGCGACTGAAAGGCAACCCGTAGAAGGCCACATCCCTCAAACACCACAACTTATCCCCCAGCTACAGTGCAGACGAGGTCCTCGCATCCCATTTCCCCACTGCATTGTTTTTGCTCCACCCAGGGTTGTATATGCCAGTGATCATGGTGCCAAAAGGAAGAAACTGCTGCCTTGGAGCAATACAAGCAGAGAGGAACAGAGAACTGGACAAAGTCAAGCGAGTTCAGAGATGTTGTGTTAGCTGGAGACCTTTAGTTCAACAGGTGCTGCGTAGCTATGCACTGAGTAAGGGAAAATGCAAATATCTGAGGGGTGAGAGCCCAGCTTCTAATGATATGGGGCTGATCTGCTTTCTCCCAAAGAGGAGTCCTTCACTTGGCTTCACTCTCGCTGAAGTCAGTGGAATCAGTCCTTGAGGACCAAGAATAAAACCAACAAAACTTGAACAAAAGATTTGGTAGACTATGGACATGGTGGGAGCCTTGTCACATACGGCCTTTAAAACTAGACCCTATCGACCTCTAATTTTCATTATAATAGATCTGAAGACTCTAAGGACACAATTCTCCTCTCCCATAGGGGTCGTCTCCATTGGGAAATCAATAGGCACGTCTTGTATATTAATTCCTCCTATGTGGACACGACTTTATTCTGGTGTCACTCCATTCAAAAGAGATCACAATCCGCCTCGAGAAAAATCAGAAATAAATGTAACCGTGAGCTGAGAAAGGGAATAGAAAACCGAGACTGATTTCTATGTGCTCTACAGTTGATGCAGAGCTATTGAACTTCCCATAGCTGATAACTAACGATCCCTTCTTTTCTCATCTCTGCAGGTGGACATGGAGGCAATCTGTCACAGCAAAGATCTTCACCTTATCCCTCCTGAGCTCCATCCCAACGTAAATAAAATAGATTTTTCTGGAAATCAGATACAAAATATCCCTTTAAAGCCACTGTCATTTTATACATCACTGCAGCATTTGGATTTAAACTCCAATCAAATAAGTTTTATTGAACAGGGAGTGTTTGCACACATGACAAGCTTGGTGGAGATAAATTTAGCCCACAATCGATTGGATAGGTTTATTCAGCACAGAACGCGAGGGGTTGGCCTTCTACCCAACGTTCTCACATTGGACTTGTCCCACAATAGCCTTTACAATGGGATGACTGAGTATTTCACACACGAAGCACCGTCACTACAATACCTTTCCTTGGCAGAAAATAGCATTACACTGATATCACGCAGGACGTTTCAGGGGTCTCCTGCTCTTGTCGAGGTTGACCTCCACAGCAACATCATCATGGAAATAGAAGAAGGTGCTTTTGAAGCTCTGCTGAATCTCTCCAAACTCAATCTCTCCGTGAACTCCATCACGTGCATTGCTGACTTCAGCCTCAGGCAGCTGCAAATATTGGACCTTAGTAGGAACAGCATCGAGTCTTTTCACACCACAGAGTCAGAGGAAAAATTTAATCTGACGTGGCTGGATCTTAGTGAGAACAAGCTTATGTACTTCCCAACTTTCCCCCAGGTGAACAAGCTGGTGTTTCTAAATTTATCTAAGAATTTAATTCAGCTTTCTGCAGAATCCCCTCGTGACAATATGGACTATATGGAAAGAGATTGGCTGGAAGCTCCTTTTCATATTCTGGATCAGAACCAACACAGAAATAGAAGTTCTCCATATCTATCCCAGCTTTCCTATTTAGACTTAAGTTATAATGAGATCAAATCCATCCCAACTGAATTTTTTGACTTGATGATCTCTCTCCAGTTTCTCAATCTCAGTAAAAACTGCCTCCAGGCTTTCTCCATAAATCACGACAGTGCATTAACCTCACTAACCGTTCTTGATTTAAGCTTTAACGCACTGCAGAGCCTTTTCCTAGATGCCAGGACATTGCTCAATTTACAAGAGCTCTACGTTCAAAGCAATCATCTTCAAGCCTTGCCATTCGATATCTTTGCAAGGCTGCCCAGAATCAAACTGCTTAATCTCCAGAATAATAATATTAGCCTTTGCAGCATGTATTCAGGATTAGTTAAACAAAGGCTTGCCGGTGAGGAAAATGGCTGTATATCGTTTGTTGATTATCCTACTCTTCAGTACTTATACCTAGCTGACAACATGTTGAGAAGCCTACCAAAATATACTTTCTATAAGACTTCATTAGTTGCCTTGGATCTCTCTATAAACCCGGGGCTGAAAATAGAGGCTAAGGCATTATCAGGACTGGAAAATTCGCTTGAATATTTGCAGTTACATGGCAACAGCATAACAGATTTAAATATTGACCTGCCTTATTTTAGTGTCCTGAAATATTTAAATGTCTCAGAAAATCAGCTGAGCTGGTTACCAAAGTGGGGCAGGGATGCTTCTTTGGAAGTTTTGGATCTCCGGGACAACAGGTTTAGTACGCTGGAGAAAAGTAATATTTTGGCTTTAGAGCCTTCTCTAAAGAGCTTGTACCTTTCTGGGAACCCACTGAGCTGCTGTGAAAATGTCTGGCTCTCTGCCATGATCCAGAATAAAAATGTAGAGATCCCCAATGTAGAACAGATAACGTGCCAGTACTCCAAGAGCTTTGGCTTCCAAGAAGAAATATCCATTAGCAACATAAAACCACAAGACTGTGAAAAAGAGGATCTAAAGAAAATTAACTTGCTCATTATACTAACATTTGCATTGGTGTTGTTAGTAATCATCATTGGAGTGTGCTCGTTTTGTTGGTTCCGCAGAGAAAGGTTTGGCCAGCAATTTAAAGCATAGCTCATGGACTAACGTAGTGACAATCAAATCAGGTGCTGCGCTACAGTGTGTAGAAACAAAGGGAAACATTTCTTGGTTTTGCTATCAACTATGGACGTTAAAGCCTATTTCCGTTCTGCTCTCAGCTGCACCAGCATCGTTGCTTAGGGTTGCAATGTCCTAATGTCTGGGAGGAGAATTTGTTATATTTTGCACTTGTTCCAAGCTGAAACAGAACTGTGAAAATGCATATGTAAAACTCTGCTTGCATGAGGTTTTTTTGATCTTAAAAAAAAATGCCTGGGGCCCTATAAAACCATCGCTGAAACTCAAAGCACAGTCTTTGGCTATCCCTAGATACTTGATCTTTGCAAACATTCTTATCATGGTTTAAAGTCATTTTTTGGTGACAATAGGTGGACCAATGAATCACACCCTGGGTATGATAAGTCCTTGCGCGCTGTCTTAACAAACCCATGTGTTTTGACAAATCATACCACTTGGATCCAAGTGTTGTTTTGTCACAATTTCAAAGGAGGTAAAACCATGGGAGGCAAGACCAGTGAGAACTAGAGCTGGCTCTAGCCATTTCACTGCCTTGGGTAAAATAAATGTTCCCTAATCACATAAATAACCAGGCTAAACAGCTAGAAACCACTGATCACTAGAAATGCCTCCCCTTCAATTATGCCACCCTGAGCAACTGCTCAGTTTGTCCACAGTTTGGGTCTGCCCAGACAAATACCAATATGTGATTTTTTGCTCTTCTGAGTTGACCGCAAATTTCCCATTCAGTACAAAGCAACAGTAGGAAGCTAGGGATCTCAGGAACAAAAAGTCAGTGGAGCTCAGGACTGCCACTTTGATACAAAGAAATATTTCCAAGTGTTTTTAGGGATCAAAAGGCCCTCTTATCCCAAAACTATAGGCCTCCATTGCTTGAGTGAAGGAAATCCCAACCAGATAGTACAGGGATGTCAATCTTACCCCATGCCCTAGGCTGGGTCTGGACTGTGGGGCTCCTTTATGGGCTGGATCCAGGGGCCAACACAAGCATCCAAAGCAGTGGGACAAGCGGCAATGGGACAAGCGGTCATGTGTCACAGTGGAGGCAGCTCAAGTGGTGGTAGCAGCGGGACAAGTGCTTATATGTTAACTGGCCACAGGGGAAGTGGGGCTGCATCAGCACAGCCCTCACTCACCTGCCTGCTGCCAAGGGTCATGTTTGACACCCCTGAGTAGATACGAGGCAGTTACAGTCCCTGGGGCTACTCAGGAACGGAGGACATGATTACACACACTAAGCAGCGTCTATAATGCCTCCTAGAAATTGTGCAGAAATCTGCACTGAGGACCCCAGTTCCACCATTCAGCTCAGAGGGGAGACATTTGTCCAGAGAGTGCAATAGGTATTTTACTGGCTTTTACATGAAGAAATTCATTTCTTTGGAGACGCTTGTCAAAATCTTTCCCAGAGGATGAATTTCAAGCAGCAAATAATCAGACCTAACTATTTGTATTTGCACAAACACACAGTAATTTCAAACTCCCTGAGAACAGTTCCACTTCGGTGCATGAAAATAAGGTCAAAGGAAGGGGCTGGGGCTAGAGGACTGAGCCTATGCACCAGGACTCAGGCAGTAAAATGAACTTGGCAAGCCTCAAACCTAACGAATGTATTAGGGGGACACACAGGTCTTGCATCTACTCTACTAGGCTATCCAGGCCACGTGGTGGCAGAGTGGTTGAAGTGTCTCGCGATGGCTTCAAAGATGTAGATTTGAGCTTCACTCTGGACTCATACTAAGAGTTTCATAATGAGATTCATAGATGTTAGGGGCTGGAAGGGACCTTACAAGATCAGTGGGTCCAGCCCCCCCGCATTTGTGCAGGAAAGACAACTGGGGTCAGATGTTGTCCCCACCTAATCCAGCTAAAAATAAATACCTAGCCGTTTGGGCTATGGAGTCAAAAGTGGCTATATATGAAGGCTAGCCCCATCCACTCGCCTTGAATGCCAGTGGCTACAGAAGCCATTTTGCCCTTAAATCACACTAGCCTAATGGGTTGTTAGGCTTGGATGAACCTTTGACTACTTTTTGCTTAGACTGTCCAATGCATCACCACCTGATGGAAAGAAAGACATAGCCACCAACAGCTTGAACAAACTCCAGCTGAAGCTCACCGATCTCTACAGGAGAGGGACCAAGCCCCAAGATTTCAATTATGTGCGAATGCCAAGAGTCAGACTTTACACTGCTTAATATCCAAATGCTCAAATAGCATAACAGGGGTGTCAAACTCATCCATGCCTGGACCGGATCTGCCTGGTGATTGGGATGCAGCAACAGTGGTGGAGCACGTGGCAGCGACAGCTTCAGGGGTTAATGCAGCTGTTCTTCACCCCCTGCCACTGACATGCTTCTCAAACAGGGCTTCTTGCCCCAGATTTGGGTGGCCGGCTCCACTCCCACTTGCCCAGAAATCCCAGCCCCCCTATGAGCTACATGACACATCTCCGCAGGCTGCAAGTTTGACCCCTTGATCTAATGCAAACCTACCGGGTAAGAAACTCCGAATTAAGTTGCTGCTCTAGTCTGTTGTTGGTGGGTCCTCCCCACCCAGCTACTGAATGTCAAAACTAGCACACTACAAATAATTGTATAGTCATGTTTCAAAAGTAATTCTGTAAGAAAATGACTTGTAGCATTCATTGTTGGGATTTTGTAAGACAGAGGCACCTTCCAACTTTGTAAAATGCACAGACGTGAATATATTAAAGCACCGGTTTGGACTACTCCGGAGATAAACATCCACGCCGTGGTGTTTATTTGGGGAACGTGGATTGCAACTTCCTGCTGTACATTGTATCCTGGGGTAGAGGTAGCTGCTCCCTAATTAAGGTAACAAGTGGCCACTGCAAACCAACTTGGGTTTAGAAAATGAATTTATCCTGGAAAGCACCAGGGTTGAGGCCTGAACTGAAGTCTGTTGAAGTATATAGAAAGGCTTCTGTTGGAAGGGGCCTTTATTCCTCAGGGAGACTGTTGGGATGACCATGAAAACCAAATTCCAGCCTGACGCCTAATAAGACTTTTGCTCTCAAAGGGAAAGCAAAGTGAGCAGTGTAGCCACCCGGTGAATGCGTGCATCCTGTTTTGAGGCAGGTTTCTAAAAGACTCATGATCAATGTATCCACCAGCACTCACTGCTTTAGCAAATAAACTAGTGATGCAACCAATTCCAGGCAGGTTACACAGTTAAATGCTGTGTTGTTGTTTCAGCTGTACAGAAAGACTAAAAAAAGACAGCCTCACTTTTTTCTATTAAAGTCAATGGGGATCTCAAGCCCCGGGGGCAGCCTGGATTCTCTTGGTTTCCCTACCGGGGAGCTAAAAACAATGCAGAAGTAGCATTCATTCATTCTGGCTGAGTCCCTCATTTTATAAGGGAAGGGGAACGTGAGGTAGAAGAAGGAAGGATGGAAAAGAATAGAGGGGCTTAGGGAACAAAAATGAGGGCCCACACGGCCTTACTCTGCAGTATCCATTAATGAGGGTGAAGGGACACACTTTCCCGGGAAGCAGCCATCCTTCAGTCCTCACTCCTTTCTGCCCAAAGGCGCTTCCTTCTCTCCCTACAAGAAGTCCAACCTACAAAGTACCTGACAAGGGGTTTCTTCATACAACAGAGTCCTTACTATTACACAACCTTCTACTTGGCCCCCTTCATCAGCAGAAAGAGAGGACGGGATGAGGGCAATTGTCCCTGTGGCTCTGTTCTTCCTTTCGTTACCCTTGAGTCAAGTCCCAAATATTACGAGAGCCTTTTGTAGTGGCACATGTCTAATGAGTAGATGATCAAGTGCAAGACGACAGCTTGCAAGATGAGGTAGCATGGAGCCTAGATTTTGCATAACCAGTAAAACGTGGGGGGAGTTTTTCCTGCAAATATCGTCCTCAGTGCAGGTCCCTCCATGGGGCTCGACACCAAATCCCGTTTCAAAATCTTCGAACCCGACTGCACTCGACAACAGCTCATGCAACATTTCCTTTGGGTAATCTCAGGAGCGCATTCCCCATGGTGGGGCCAAACAGATGTGGAATAGCACAGCTGGGGAAGCAGCGAGAACCCTAAATAGAGGGTCCCGCATGAGGTCAACAAGTAACGATTCATCTTGGTCCTCACTGGCATTCAAACACGCATCGGCCACGCTAAGAACATCAACCTCTCCAGCAGGACCTGAAAGACTGATTCCCTAAGCTGACAGCTGTAATGGAGCCTTATCGTCTTTGGATCAGACACGGAGTGGCACACAGACCAGAGGGATTTAACTGGGACCACCTGAGACATATAGTGAGGGTATAAGTAGGACTTACCTGGTACGTGGGCCATATGCTAGCCTAATAGCCCTCTTCCCATAAGTTGTTTTTGCAACAAAAAACACGGATTCTCTGTTGAGGCATTTTAAAGAGAGACACAGGAAGAGACATAAAATAATGTTGTGCAGGAAAGTCCATCTGCTACGTGGTTCTTGGCAAGGGCCAGCTAGAACAAGGCTGACGATAATTAATTATTTGAAAAACAGGACATATCACTCTAAATTGGAGAAACACAGAGATTTCTTTGTTTTGCGTCCATCTATGTTCTAGACAGCCAGTATCCTGCTACAAAGATAAAAGCACCCCGAATCCCATTTTATACTTATATATAAGAAACATGTAGTAGTTTGAATGTAAAAGCTTCTTAGATGGATCTATTGCTTTCTATAAACAGGCACCAGTTCTGTTTTCACACAAAGGCCCAGTATAATAAATACTTCAGTTTAGGATTTGCTTTGTTTAGCCTAATTTTGCTTATGCCAATAGCTCGTGCTAAGTGACTTTCTCACGACAAAAAACACCCTTCGTACCACTGAAAGCCTACGGACTCTCATTTTCTTACTACACGCTTACTTATATGGAACAATTTAGTCAGTATGTGCCTCAGTTTGGGGCACCTCAATTTGAGACCCCACAAAGATGCCAGATTCTTCAGAAAGTGCCAACTGCGCGTTTTTCTAAAAATGATCCGCTTTAAAGTGCCTTGACTTATGCCTACCTAAAATTGAGACAGGCCAGTTTACTAGCTCCTTCTTCATTACAGAGTTCCTTATGAAAGCTGATACACTTCTTCAATGTAGTGAGAGCATGTTGAGTCCATCGGATGCTGAAGAATAGCAAATACCCAATTTTACCATGTAAACCACTCTCGGATGGAGCAAGGTATATGTTCTCACTCGAGGACCAGCCACTCACTCACAGTCATGACTTCACTTAGTTCAAAGGAAAAGACACGAGATAAGAACAAAGTACATTTGAAGAATTTGTTCCTGCAGCTGCAATTCTGAGAACAGCATGGCTTCCACCTCGGCACGTACTGCAAGTGGTTAGAGAGCTAAGGGTGCAGCAAACAAAGAAAAGCATCGCAAGAGCTCGGTGACATTTTTTAATCTGAGAAATCAATGGAAAGTATTTAGGTGACATTTTCATGAACTTCCTCTCCCCTGTTTTTAGCCGTGTGGGTGGCATTCCCCCCATCATTTTTGACCACCTGCATAGAAAGGGGAATTTGTTCAAATTTTGATTTTTTGGTAATAAAAACAAAAACAAAAACGCATCGCAGAGTTTTTACAAAGACTTCTCATTTTTAAACCAGCTGTCTTTCAGCCTCTGCTTTGGTGGCTCCTGCTCTACCCAGCTGGAGCAGATGTTTTTCTTGTAGGCCTACACCTGTGGTCACTGGGCATCAGGAGGAAATATGTACACCTGTGGGGGCAAGAGAAACAGGTAAAGCTCATGGCTGGTAGTAAAAGGCAGAAGGGAGGGGGCAGGTAATATGCTGGTGCATTTCTGTCAAAATTTTGTGCAGTTGGAGGATGCCCATGGATCTCACATAGCAAGAGGTATCTGTCAAGGTCCCCCTCCTCTGGGTACAAGGAAGGGGGAAAGTCCATCAAATATTAAACCTTTTCCTTGAATGCAGGGGAGGAAAGAAGTAGCAGCCTATGGGGCAAAAAAAAGAGAAAGAGTGAGGAGATCATGGATGAGAGCAAAGGGCTTCCGATGAGACTAAACCGAGGCGACTTACTACTGGAAGGACGTTAACCAACTGGGCAGCATTGAGAGAAGAGGGTTAAGAAAAGAAAACTTCCACAGAGGATGTTGAGACCAATTTATGAGGAAAGTTTAACTGAGATAAACAAGGATATACGTTTTGCTAAATAGCATCATTGCTATCCACAAGTATGTGAAGATTGTGAACAAGGAAGAAGGAGAACTATTTAGGGTGATACATGGAAGGATGCAATAACTAAGGAAATGGCATGAAACCGAAACAGGGACAAAGCAGACTGAGTATCCAAGGAAAACTTTGACTGTATTGTACTAGCAAACTTGGCTTTATAAATCTTGTTCTTTTGCTCTCCTTTAGCTCGTGGAGAAAGGTGCACATCATCCCTGCCTTCTAACTGACTCCCGTCTAACACAGCTAGTAACCAGTTCTCTCTATCAGGCTGTGCAACATTATTCTAGGACAGGGCTGGGCAAGATGCGGCCCACCAGGCCATTGCATCTGGCCTGCGGGGCCCCTAAAAAAATTAAAAAATTAATATTTATCTGCCCTTGGCTGCCTGCCATGAGATGGCTTGCCAAAACTCAGTAAGCGGCCCTCTGCATGAAATAACTGCCCACCTCTGTTCTAGGAGAAGACATTTTGGGGGCTATTTTAGTACTAGATGGATTATAGCGCTAGAAAACATATACAGAACAAATCTTCATTTATAGGGACAGACAGGGTGACAGTCTAGTTTTATTCCAAAGTGTGGACTATGAACTATTGTTGGTCTCTGGAGCAATTGCTGGGAGCTGCTTGCTGATGACTACCAGGTTGGTCACGTCATACAAGTACCTCCCCCCTTCTTTCAACTTTCAAATTGCTTCGAAGAGAGCTAAAAAGAGATTCAATACTTTCTTACCATTACTTTTGCAGATAAATGATTTGTGTAGTTGCCATACACATCATGGCTATGACTGGGGGAGCTGGTGATCGGCACAGTTTCAAGTGGGATGAAGGGCATCCTCCAGATTCCCCCTTAAGAAGATGTGGTTCACACTGAAAATGTTGCCAGACCCAATAGCCAGCAGTCTTATGCTATCCCCAGTGTCCATGGAAATGAAGGTGTGCAGAATATAGGGTCTTTGAGACAGGAACAGGTAAAAAAGCATTTATCAGATGGGCAAGCTAAAGGGCTGGGGATATTGCCAGGAGGGATCAAAAAGGCTAAAGGAAATATAAGGAGAGAAAAAACAGGAGGTCAAGGGGTAAACATAAAGGAAATGGTTTTGAGATTAAATTATCTGATGAAAGTAGAAAGAGGAAATAAAGCAATGGGAAAAAATAGAAGAAAAAGCAAGGAAAGACATGCAAAGCGTTAGGGTTAAAAAAATAACAGGGGGCTCTCAGGCACATTTTAACTATCCTTGCAACAGCAGGACACTGACCACCGCTGTCCCTCTGCTTTACCTGTGGCAGGTTCGGGTCCTGTGCCTTGTAGTTGTGCGGTAGGGTTGACTGCATAATTTTAGGAACAGGTTGGACAAGAATTTGTATGGAATAGTTTGGATGGGGATGATCCCGGCTCAGGGAGGGAGTAGATGACCTATGGAGGTCCCTTCCAGCCTGACTTCTCCATAATTAATAACATTATGCATTTTGTTTCTTTGCAAAATAGTGCTGATGAAAGCTGACTACCGCTCTCAAAGGGGAGGAAATGG